AACATAAAAGACCGCAAACTATAAGGTGATTTTTTTGTTAATATTAACCCTCGGATTATGCAAATTGAGATTTTCCCTTCCCGAACCCGGGTTCCCGTACTAAAATTATCCCCGACCGCAAGACTTTTACCCTCCGCGTTTTGATTTCCCCCAGCAAAAATGTTTTTTCGCACAAAACGTTCTCCGCGTTTTTTTTTTTCCCCCACAAAGATGTTCTGAGATTTTTTTATTAACCAAAATCACGCATATAACGTGATATGGCGAGATTTGTGTGGTACGTGAATGGTAACGTAGAGTCACGTTTGTTCCGTCAATAGCAGTAACTGTCAATTTAAGGGTACTATAGGAAACTACTAATCACAAGGGGGGTACGGCAAATAAAAAAAAAATCTAGGGTTGTTTGAATAAGGGTGTATTTGATTTGGTACCTATACTATATTATTTTCCATTCTAAGGGGGGATCCCATATTTTCCCTAAGATATATGTCCCTAGTGACAAAACTTATTTGAACTAAATGACAAGTCAAACTAAACTTTTGTTTCACATCCTTTATAAATTTCATTCCAAAAATGCCCTCCTATACAAAAAATGAAATTTGCACCAAGTAATATTTATATTGCATTTATCATTTTTTATTTTACATTTAACATTTTCAAAAGAAAATTCTTTTTCGTACTTTTTTATTTGTCTGATATAATATTAAAAATTAATATTTTCATATTTTTTGAATTTTCTTTGTATATTCTTAACAATTATTTACTTGATTTTTATAGATAAATGCATAATATGAATCACAATATAGTAACCCATAGTTACGTAATCGTTTATAGTCATCTGAGTCATGTATCCAACTTCATAGCACACTCTTAATATATGTATATCACTTTCATCCATCGCAACCCATAGTCACTTGTAGTAATCCGTAGTCATCCGTAGTAATCCATAGTCACTTGTAGTAATCCGTAGACAACTATAGTCATCCTGAAACCCTAGATACGCCCTCTTGAACCTTAGCTCCGATCTTTTGATTCACAGCGCCGTCAGACTCTGTAGACTACCGTAGTCATTTTGAAAATTCTAATTTCACCGTTTTAAACCCGAGCGCCGCCAGCAGACGAAGACCGACCACCGTTGAGACGTCATCGCCTCGTAAAAATTAGACACACACGTACCATGAATTCACAACCAGCCCTAGTCGCCGTCGAAAACGTGCAACAAGCAGATCAACGATGTCGAATTAGCAACCCTTCCCTGCTGCTCCATAACCAGACGCACAAACAGTGATGCGGGAAAATTACATTTTTCGTCCTCATACTTTACTCACTTTTTCAAAATTGTCCCTAAATATTTTGGAGTTACAATAGTAGTCCTTAATCATGCCATTTTTTTACAGAATTGGTTCGCCGTTAATTTTTTCCGTTAAGTTGGATGGAAAATGGCATGTGCCTCTCACATGCCTTCAATTTACAACACTACATGAAAATGGACTTTCAACAAAACGCATTGCATCTTGTTAAAACATATTTTTTATACTTATTATTTTTAATTAAAATTTAATATAATATCGAAATTACGTAAATTCCAAAAAAATCAACTCATTTCGGAAATATTATTTAAAAAAATCAAAATATAGTTTAAAAATTTAAAATATTGTTCCAAAATCGGCATTTTTGGAATTCAATTAAAATATATCGTTTCAAACCAAAATAAAAAACCTCATAGGAATTGGGGAATTAGAAATCTCCATTACAATTTTCACCTCTAGTTAATTCCAAAAAGCCGTCGCTGGGGACGGTCTCTAGACTTTTGTCTACGTTA